CGCAAATATTGATACATAAACATCAAAAGAAAAAATTGGTAGATTCAATGTATGAGAAGGTAAAAATAAATCATCAACACTAGAAAAAAATGATAAAAGTAAATCATGCACTATTAGATGCATAAGAAGAAGAAATATTAGATGTGGATGGTGGCCCTAGCCCTTTCTTCTTACACGGTTGAAGATAATTTTTTTGGGTTGGACAAAAAGTTTCATTTTTAAGGAGAATCATTTATGTTAGCAATAAAAATGAAAAGTTATAAATAAAATAAATATAAGACATTATAATTCACTCAAGGATAATATAGGAAGAAAAAAAACTACATAAAAGGAATTAACTCTGACATTAAATATAAATGCTGACTTGTACATAAGTCAAAGGACTATAATTAGTTTTTTATCTTGGTTAAGGTTTTAGTCTAAAGATAATCTTTTTCAAGGATTAATATCTAGTTTCCTATTCAATTTATACTAAAACTAGTGGAGAAACCAAATTTTCAGTGTTTCATGTTCCTAATGGTTCGCTTCAGTTCGAGATTACACTTTTTACTTTAAAAGTGAACGATATTATTCAGATTTGTTTCATTGAGTCGGTTCTTTGCTCACCCCTGGACCATGCAGCGTTGTGGTCCAAAAAAGAACAGCATGTTATTAATTAGGGGAATAAAACTGGTAAGTTTTTGCAGTTTTGCTCTTGGTGCATGGTATCTATATATACAGAAAGGTTAGATAGATATCTACACAGAGGTTTCAGATCACGGAAGGTATATAGCTAGAAACAGATAAAGGAAATGGCAATTGTAGATTGATTATTCAGATAAAGGAAACACTTTTGCTTTTGTGTGTGACAGCTAGCTCTTCTCAAAGTATATATAATTACAAGTCCCATTGATTCGACAGGTGATTAACGGAAAAATCTAGCTAGAAAAACATATAGAATGAGACTTAAAAAAACATAAATCTCCAAATAAACATATTTCGTCGGTGGGGGAGTATAATTTTAGTAGGGTATATGACGAATTAAGAGAACGATCGATTGCAGGAAAGAAAGCATAAAAGAACCACAATGTTGCTACGATAACCAAAATGTTAGATCTAAGAACATATTGTAATCGCTTCTTGATGAATAATGTCCATATATATTTTCTTATATTCATGCTTGTTTTGTGAAGATAAATTGATAGATTTCATTTTTAAGGAAGAAGCACAACACCCAAAGGGGATCATAAGCTCACTAATCATTATATTCTTCCAACAATAAATATGAAATAAGGTCATGAGGTTCCTCAAACCAAAACAAGAACAGGAGGGATCCACCGGAGAAGCTCATTCCCCTTCTCTTTTTTTAGAATAAAAGGAGGATACGGACAAAATCGTGTCAAAATGAAGAATGTAGCAAGCAGTGATGAGCAATTCTGTTAGCCTAACGAGTAGAAAAAACTCCAATAATCCCAAGCAGCAAGCCTTTGATTAATAAAACTGAGATAAATCATATATCCTACTAAAATATTTGAAAAATATATTAATTATATGTTGGTCTTGAACGAAGAAATAATACAATAGCTTGTATATATCTGATCACATAATCTGTTTTGTCTTCTGTATAGTCTCTAAAGCCGTCTTAATCTGTCTTTTTCACAATCAATCTAAGTCAAAGAAAAAAGAAACAACAAAGATAATATGAATCTTACGTCTATACACACATACATATATATATATATATATAACATATACATTGAGAGGGGATAGAAGATGTTCATGTTCTCCTCCCCCACGAGTCAGGACTGGATAAGCCAACTTTGTTTAACCTAATCATGTCTAAGTTCTAACATCATTCATCCAATATTTTATACATATAGCAAAAAAAACAAAAGAAAAAAAAAGAAAGATATGTTCTTGATATCAAAGTGGATTGGAATTCAGTTCCCATTCCACTTGAGCTTTCTTTCCAAGATCTTTTTGGGACAAGTGGATTGGACACCATGATTTCGTTTCAACACGCATATCAGCTGGGGAATTGGAAATGTATCTGCAAACAGCTCCCTCATCTAGTCTGTGCTCCACTCATTTGGAATAAGAAAATAAATTGCTTTGTTGTGATAAGAGTTATTATGCTTTTGCATAGATGACAAATCATAATATGACATGTCTGTATATTTTATTATTTTTAATTTATAAACGAGCTGTGTTTAATATACATGCGAGACAGTAATTTGCATACAAAAATAATATATAGCTTTTTCTTCGTCAAAATGATTTCGTTAACACCACAAATCAAGTGGAAGTTTAGGGATTTGGCATGGATATGTGTTTTTGTCGTGTCCATTTCGAGTGGTTGTGGTTTTACAAAATCTGTAAACATTCCCAAATAATTTTTTACCACAAAAAAACCGTTCCCAAATAAAAGTAGAGGCAAAGCTAAGTAGATATCATATGTTCTATGCTTGTAATGATGAATTTTTATTTATTTATTGGATAAACTTGCATTTAGGTATGCATATATGTTATTTCTTGCAAATAATGTATCTTCAACATATAATTTTTCATAGTCGAAACTGTTTAGTTTTTTAAGGTTTATGATTCATTTGAACCAAAGATCATTTGTTATCCAAATATATCAAATAATGGACGATTTATCTTGAATATGTTATTTAATACTCACACGTCAATTTATTTTATAAATTTGGATATATAAACAATCTCGAATTCAAATCATTTTATAGATAATCAAATTAAAGTTAATAAATTAAATAGTTTTGGTTATGAAATTTATACGTTTAAGATACATTATTTGTAAATAGGGAAGAGGATCCTCTCCGGATCCACTTTGTGGGGATCCTAGGGATCCTCACATCCTAACCGTTCATCTTACATCGTGCAGCCAGTTTTCGTCAGATACTATTTGTGTTTAATTTTAAATAAAAAAATCAAATAATTTATGACCGCACGATACATGATGAATGACTAAGATGTGAGGATCCATAAGATTCCTACAAAGTGAATGCGGATGGGATCCAATCCCCTTAAATAGTGGGATCTTGCAACTCTCCCAATAGAGGGGTGTAACTCTTTATTATGAAGAGAGAATCTTTGTCGGATACTGTTTGTGATTCGGTGAACGAATGTAATTTGAGGATTCCTGGTATCCTCTCACTCTTTATTATGCAACGTGCCAAGAAAAATAATAATATATTAATAAAAGGGCCTTGACAATCACATGGGCTTCAGCGACTTCTTCTTTCTCACGTGGCTTGTGCATGGAGTCTGCCTTTTGATGATAAGCCCATTTGGCTACGCCCAAAATAGTGTTCAGTTGGTTTTGGGCTCACATACGCAGGGTGGCTGCTGTCGGCTTAAGAAAATACGTAGCATCAGCATTGGGAGCTTAAGGGTGAAAAAAAAATATAGGTACTTGAGATAAAGTCTAGTGATGTTACTCTTCGTTTATAAGTGAGTGATTCTAAGTTTAAATCCCATGGATCGAGATTCGATACCAATTTATTCTCTTTGTACCAAAAACAAAAAACAAAAACATTTAACGGTTAACAACGAAAATTGATTTGTTTTGATTAATCGGTACAAAAAGTTACAACCCGAAAGTGTATCTAGTTGATACTATCGTTAGTATCCAGCCAATATCACGTCAACCGTCGATCTACAAGTCACTAGTACTCGATCGATATACAATCAGTACTTGATCGATAAGTTGTTTGTCATCAATTTAGAGATTCAAAATCCTCCTCTTAGTCACCCATCCCGCCGCCCCTTCCTCCCTCGCCTTCTCCGATAGACCATCGGCATCTGCAAAATCGGAGTCGGACCAACTACCACAATAATGCCCAACTCTTCATCCTCATATTGGATCTTAGAGACTTCACTAACTCGACGACGAGATCATGAGAAGTTAGAAAAGTACACCAAAGGGGTAAAATTTCCCGAAAAGATTCGTACCCTAATGTCAATCACAGAAGCTCAAACGAGCGCACAAGACATTAAGAAATATTAGTAGCAACGGAAAATCCTTTTTGCACATCACGCAACGGGAAGAGAATATGAAAGGTTGCAGAAAACCTTGAACCAATCCGTTACTGTCAAATATCAAAAAGCATGCCCTTGCTGCACCACATATAAGATCAGTTGTAGGAAGACGAAACACGTACGGGTCCGTTTTATAACCATCCGTTTTCAGTTTTTAATTTTTCTAAGGATAGACAAAAACGAGAAAAATTAAAAACTAAAAACGAAATGGCTATAAAACAGACCGTAAGATAACCTCGAATCAATATTCAGCTTCAGCATGAAAACTAAAATCACCGCCGTCCTGACTATAGTGATTCAATCATCTAAACAAAAGCTCAATGCCGACTGAGGCTAGCATTCCTCTTCATCCTAAATGGCACTTTCATCCAACTCTATGCTTTCCTCTACCATGCTAAAAACCACTCTCTGTATGTAAAGCTTAAGCATGCTCCTGGAACATACAGTACCAAACCCCCTCCTGAAACGCGACCCTTAGCGATGATCATCGCTAGTAAATCAAACAACCAAATCCGGAACTGTACCAACTATTTGGGATCAATCACGCAATTCATTCCAAGATGATCAATCCCGCTATTCATTCCAAGACAATCAATCCCGCTATTCATTCTAATATGATCAATCACTGAATTCGTTCCAAGAATGATCAATCACACAATTCATTCCAAGAATGATCAAGCACACAATTCAATCCAAGATACATAAACACTATTAAAACGAATCAACTAATCACATTACGAGCTCCGCATAAATTTCAATAGCAAACCAGCATTTATTTCATTAAATGAAACACTGACTTAACAACAAAGTTTAAATCTTTGTCTTAATTCAGTCGGCAACAACCATCCAAAAGACCGAAACCAAATTCCACATAAAACCATATACATATACAGTGCGAATTGTGAAACCGCCCATTTACCATTGCGCTTTAGTAATTAAAGCATACCTAAACCACGATTCAATCAGTAATCTGCACGATAATTGCTGTACTCATCACGCTCACCCATGTCATTCTCGACCCTCTCCGCCATCTTATCTTCTTCATACCTTAACCCCTCATCCAATGCCAGTGCACCAAGACCTCCGGCCACTGCGCCCACAGCTAATCCGGTGCCCAATCCCATCTTCCCACTCTTGGGCTTCTGATTCTGATCATAATTCGAGTAGTCCAATGGCGCTGAAGGCCCACCAGGCCCACCACTCCCACCACTCCCACTAGGCCCGCCATAGTTCACCGGTCGGTCGAAGAACGGCCTTGGTGGAGGCGGTGGCGCGCTGGAGTAGTACGCTGGATAGTAACTCGAGTACTGATCGGAATAGGAGCTGTAATGGTAAGGCGGAGGCGGTGGCGAAGGCGATGGACTAGGAGCCGAAGCTTGTAAAGTAGAGATGTAAGGCGACGGCGAGTATGACCTGAAGTCGCGAACAGGCGGTGGGGGCATAGGGGCACCACCGTAAAAATAGCTAGGAGGAGGGGTAATATGGTAATCTGGCGGTGGCGGCAGGGGTCGCTCTCGAACGGCGAGCTTTACGCGGATCTTGCCCTGGGGACGGCCGGAGGGACGGACGAGCTGGAAGGTCCGGATTCGGGTCGAGTCGTCCTGATTTGGCAGGTCCTTGAGTGGGACCCGGAGGGTGCCAACTAAGGGCTTGGGAGTGTCGGAGGGTTTGGAGTGGAAGATTTCGAGGGTGAGGAACGAGTGGTGGAGGGAGAGGGTGAGGGGGACGGTGAACCGCTCGTTCCAGACCGGGCGGGTGGAGCCGGAGTCGTCAGACTTGGTGGCCAGCCGGCGGTCGGGGTCCACCCAGAAGACCGCGTAGGGCTTGAGGTCGCCGTTCTTCCAGTTGACGTTCTTGAGATGCTTGGCGGAGACGATCGTGAGGTCGAGATCGAGAGGCTTCTGCGGCGGAGGGCGGGAGGAAGCCATGAGGTTAGGCGTCTCTGTGCTAACGTGCGCGAGTGGGGAGAGTGCTGAGGGTGCGTAGGATAATGGGCAAGAAGGAGAGAAGGGATTGAATTTCTGTTGGGGCATGGTAATGGGGTAGTCCAAGGTGGTGCGCACATGTAAGATGACGATAATACCCTCCCTTGTATTTTAACTTCTTTCGCCGAAAGTAAATAACAAAATTACTGGCTAGAAAACGCGTTTCTCAAACAAATAATTGAAAATCTACCTTGTTACGGAGAGGTTGACATATTTATATATTAGTTGTGAGAGTATTAGGGATTAAGAATTTTTTTCGGTAACATGATCTACTTCTAATCCCTTGTTAGTAGAATTTTACTTGCATCACAAGAAACTTGTAATCTTGGATTGGGAGAATTCTGATTTGGACCGCCATCGAATAGAGAAAAACATAACTGAAACTGAAATCATTGTATCCTACATATTTGTCATCACATGAACATGAATACAACCGGAAATAAGGGGTGAATTTTTTTTTATCAAATTACCATACCATCGAATTACCAATTATACCATACCAAATTTATGTTGGAGAACAATAGAAACAAAAATAACATAAATACAGAATTTGAAATACTTATACTTTATTACTAAAAAATACTTGCAATACAGAATGAAATTACACAATAAATACAAAAATTAAAATGATACTAACTTGAATCAAAGGTAGAGGCTAGCACAGAAGCTATGTCCTTCGAATAATATTTCCGTCTCACTCTTGTGCTTCTGGTTCTACAACGTCTGCTCGACCAAGATACAACTACCTAATTCTACATTTCACACTGAATTATAGAATTCTAGCGAATTTGCTTTGTGTGTTTACTCTCTGGAAAGTTTGTATGGGAGTTGTTTGTACCATACTTAGGGCCTCCGTATTTAGATCTCGTACAAATACTCGAGGGACTTAAATGTAATTATGTAATAAAGGAAGAGGCAAATATGTAATAAGTGAGGAGCCCTTATTCTATAAAAGGACTCATCACTCTCACAATTGGGGGAGGCCAATTCCTAAGCCTTCTCATCCCTCTCATATTCAGAGGTTCTCCCCCCCACCTCTTAGATAAATACAATAATCAGTGTGGATGTAGCCCAAACCTTGGGGTGAACCACGATACATCTTGTGTTATTTACATTTCTTGCAGATTCACAGTCGGATTTACATTGTTCCAAGACCTCCGGTTTTGTGCATCAACATTTGGCGCCGTCTGTGGGAAACAATACGAAAAGCTATGTCGGTTCTCTTCAATTTTTTCATTTTACCTCCACCGATGAATATGCACAACCCAATAACCCAATTATCAAATAAGCCTAATCGCATTCCAAACAACCTCACATCCAATCGCCCACTGATGTGTAGCACCTGAACCCACATGTCTCTCGCTATGTCTAAAACCTCTTACGTGTCCTTCTTCCTCCTCCTGCTTGTCCTCTACAACCAGGCCCACGGATGCCGCCTGCTCAGACATGCAGCTGAAAGACTTGGCTCCTCATCCTCCTCTTCACGATCCACTTCTCAACAACAGTAAGCACCGGTATCACCCCAGCCTCATTCTCCACCATCTCCGACTGCCCAGACCTTCGAAGACCACTCCCAGGGGGTCTCCAATCTGTCTCTCCAGAGCTCCGACTCTCTGCAGTCATGGCTACATCCAGTTTCGCCGGAGCAAAGCTGGAGGCTATGTTGTCGAGATCGTCATAGTCGGCGGTGGGGAAAGCGAACTTGCTGTCCCACTATGCACGGAACGAGTTCAACGCTCACTCGAAAGCCACAATAGGTGTGGAGTTTAAGATCCAGAGCAGGGAAATCTCGAGCCAAAATAAAGACTAAAAGGCCTCGGCTTCTCATCCATGCGGTGCACTGTGAAGTCTCAAGTCACACACCACTGTGTCGGGTCTGCTGGTGTTGATGGAGGAAAAGGGCAGGCTAACCAAATCATGTATTCGTTGACGGTCAAACCCTCTTTCATCTTACCCAAATTTTCTCTTTCGTCGTGGCCGTCAAGAACCTTCTGAACAAACACACACAGAGACAAAAACATATTATTGGCTACCTGATGTCCATGGCCATGGGGTTGCTGTGGGTGGTTGTTTGCATGAATATTGTTCTGTTGAGCTTTGTGCATGTGTTGATGGTGGAGCTTCAGCGATGTGAGCACCCTACGAAACCTGATAGCTTACTCAGCTTTTTGGCGGTTGGTGACTGGGGTAGAAGGGGTGGTTACAATCAATCCCAAGTTACTTTTCAGATGGACCCATATCATGGAGCTGAGGTTCAATGTTGTGGTAGACAGAGAAAGCTGATGAAAGAAGATAAGAATTTATTATCTGACGAATTAATGTGTCGACCACCAACTCAAAAAGAAAGGGACACCATCATAAAAAAACAGGCAAAAGCAATCATCCACTAGCAGTGGCACGGGCACCACCAACGGGTCCTCCACGAACTCCAACCATGCACTCACCTGTTATATATATTATCTCCACTGCAATTATTTGCTGCAACTATGCAAAGCTTGCATGTGCCCATATCCGAACAACATGCAATTATATGGCGTACAGGCAGGCAGGTGGGACCCTATGTTTTCGATGCAAATATACTGCAATGCCGGGTCAAAGGGTTCGACTCAGGACCAGCTCCTGTATTTCCTCAAATCAAAGGCATCAGACAAAGCTGATAAAAAATGAATTATTAAGTAACCAGCTCTACTGATCTACATTGTCGCCGATTAAAGAAGTCTGACAACTTCTAGACTGACGGGCCGTATGCTTATATCATTTGGCAACTTGCCACCTTTATCACCAACCAGGTGAAGAAGGAACACACCTTCATGCCACCAACCACGTGAAGAAATGTACAACCCGTACTCTCCTTCATGCCACCAACCAGGTGATGAAATGTATAACCCGTACTCTAATATCATTTGGCAACTAGCCATTCATGCCACCAACCAGGTGATGAAATGTACAACCAGTACTCTCCTTCATGCCACTAACCAGGTGATCAAAAGTACGCCCAGTACTCCAAATTATACATGAGCATTACTTATGTCATTCATACATAAACATTCATGAGCATCACTCATGACAATCATATATAATCATTCATGTCAACATTCATGAGCATCACTCATATTAACATTCATGAGCATCACTCATGTCAACATCCATGAGCATCACTCATGTCAATCAACATAAACATTCATGAGCATCACTCATGTCAATCAGCTTCAAAAGCTTCATTTACAGAGCTCTAGCTTCAAAAGTTTCATTTACAGAGCTCTAACTTCAAAAGCTTCATTTACAAAAGCTCCAGCTTCGAAAGCTTCATTTATAGAGCTCTAGCTTCAAAGCTTCACTTACAAAGCTTCAGTGCAGGGTATATAAATACCGCATCCAAACAACCGCCACTTCGGCCTATACATGGATTCAATTTGAAGTCTCCAGCCAGCAGACTCTATTGACTGAAGACTTGGGCGACTACATTATGTACCATCTATTGGGCCTCAATTGGGCCTCATGAAAAATACTTGGGGACTTAGCATATTATTTATGTACTGAGGAGCGAGCCCTTATTCTATAAAAGGGACTCCCTCACTTTCATTAGAAAGCACCCATCATTTATGTATTGAGGAGCGAGCCCTTATTTTATAAAAATGACTCTCTCACCTTCATTAGAGAGCAACGCCGTTAGCTGAGCAAACCGCATCGCCGCGAGCATCACTCATAACCCATTATTCATGTACTGAAGAGCGAGTCATTATTCTATAAAAAGGACTTCATCATCTTCATTAGAGAGCATCGCCGCCTACTGAGCAACCACCTCGTCGCAAGCATCAACTCTAGCCCATCATTTATGTATTAAGGAGCGAGCCTTTAATCTATAAAAGGGACTCACTCACCTTCAACGCCACAAGCCGAGCCAACCAAGGCAACATAAGCCACAAGCCGAGCAGCCTCGCAACATGTGCTACTTCTAGTTGAGCATCATTTCAGATTGAGCACCGACTCATATCGAGTATCAGTCTTAAACGATATCTAATTACTTCGGCCCACACATGAACTGAATTCAAGTCTCCAGCCAAAAGACTCTCTTGACTGAAGACTTGGGGGACTACTGTTTGTACCATACTTAGGGCTTCCGTATTTAGATCTCATACAAATACTCGGGCGACTTAAATGTAATTATGTAATAAAGAAATGGGCAAATATGTAATAAGTGAAGAGCCCTTATTCTATAAAAGGACTCCTCACCCTCACAATTGGGGGAGGCCAATTCCTAAGCCTTCTCATCCCTCTCATATTTAGAGGTTCTCTCCCTCACCTCTCAGATAAATACAATAATCAGTGTGGATGTAGCCCAAACCTTGGGGTGAACCACTATACATCTTGTGTTATTTACATTTCTTGCAGATTCACGGTCGGATTTACGTTGTTCCAAGACCTCCGGTTTTGTGCATCAACAAGAGTGAAGGAGGAAGAAAAGATAATCTACGATGGAATTGAGACTCCAATTATATAGGCTCTTTCATACCTCTTCAAATACCTTTTGGAGGTATATGAAGCTACACAACTCTTTCCAAATAGTTGTGCCTATTAATCAAAACGTTTTTAATTAATTTTAATTAAAAACTTAATTCGAATTTAAAATTAATGATCTGATTAATTTTAATTCTTAGGCCCCAAGGCACAGGGCCCTTGTCTTGATTAATTAATATTAATTTATATTAATATTATGATATAATCATCAAGCCTAATCCACAATTAGTGGCCCAAACCTCAATCCTCATTCCAAATGGTCCAACACCTAATCACTAATAAAGGTGACTAACATAATATAAGGACCTCGAATTCCCTTAAGTTCCCCGATCTGGGACTAAAGGAGCTGAAAAACTCAAATAATTTATACCGTAATTTTATTCCAATTAATATTTGTACCGAACTATATATTTTCGCTATGATAATGGTATCTAAATCCATTATTCCATACCGAACCAATATTATATATGGGGAGCCTTACCTATATCTATAATTTATATACATTATAATTATTGTTTTGGTTGCTCAAG